TCATAAGCCCCCTAGGTAATTTATTGCAGCACTTAACCAGTATTTACAGTTAGGAAGCTTTTCCTCTAACCTAGATCTTGCTGCAATTTAAGTCCATTACTTCTTGTCCTGTCAACAGCGGTTAAGGAGAACAATTTATCACCCCCCTCTTTATAACAATCTTTTATGTACTTGAAGACTTATACCTACCCCAAGTCTTCTCCAGACTAAATAAACCCCCATTTTCTCAATCTTTCCTGAAAGTTCATGTTTTAGGCCTTTAATTCATTTTGTTGCTCTCCTCTGGACTCTCTCTAATTTGTCCACCTATCCTGAGCTGTGGTGCCCAGAAATGGACACAAGTAAAGGAGTTAGATCAAACAGAAGGTATTTTACATTCAGGGCTGAAAGTTTTAACAGCCTTGCAACTTTTCTATTAGAAAAGCTACTTTAGCTCTGACATTTTGCAGCATTGTTGCAAATATTGAATTGCACTGGAATAAATAGGAGTTGGCCTGGAACTACAGCCAACAGGAGCTGTGATGGCACAGCTTGTATACAGGGTCAGCATACAGATCCTCCTGACCCTTCCACTAAGGAGCCACTTAAGATAAGCGCCACGCAGCCAGAGCCTGCATCCCAAACTCTTTTCACACTCCAGACCCCTCACTCCTGTTCTGATTCTAGAGCCCACATTCCCAACCAGAGACCTTATTCTACACCCTAACCTCCTGACCCAGCCCAGAGCTCTCTGCTTCACCCAAACTCCCTCCTGGAGTCCACATCCCACACTCCAAAACCCCTCTCAAAAACCTTGTTTCTGAAACTCCCACCCCAGAGTACACATCCCCAGCCAGAGCCCTCCCCCCCATCCTGGATCCCAACCCCTACCCCAGCCCGGTCAAAGTGAGTGAGTCCTACTCCAATACAGTCAAAATTATTAAGTCCAAAGCTTAAGTGTGTTGTACCTGCCCTGGGTCTTCATTTTGTGGTAGACTGAAGACAGGTTTCACCACTGTTTCCATCATTAACTCCTTTCCCCATGCTAGACAAAGAGGCCCATGTTAGTTTTACTCAGTAGCACAAATAAAAAGCCATCTCTCCAACCTACAAACAAGCAACCCATTTTTCAAAAATACCCTCTTGGCAGACAGCAACTGAGCTAGACCATTAGAAATCCACAGTATCATTGGTTTGATTTTTAAAAGATTTACAGATAGAGACTTTTCCTGAGTTGATTTAACAACACTTCAGTGTCAATTACCATCATTTATACATTGCAAGTGGTATACCAATGCTTTGCACTTCTATAGTATCTTTAATTTATGGATCTCATCTAGTTGAGCCTCTCCACATTCTTGGAAACTAAGTAAGTATTCTTAATATCCATATTACACGCAGGTAAACTAAGGCAGAGCCACAGAGTGAGACTCAACTAAATTCAAACTGCACTCATATGAACACACTCAGGAATCATGAAGTTAAGTATCCCCTGGTCTAACCACTAGACACAGCACTACTTCTCCTGTGACAATTTCCCAGTGTTGTCTTCAAGTCATCGTCAAGTCCAAGTCAAGTCTCAAGTCACTACAGTTCAAGTCCCAAGTTGAGTCTCAAGGCTTAATTTTAAAAATGTCAAGTCACTTTTGTACAAGCCATCAATATCGATAAACAACAATATTCACTGTTTTCACTTAACATAAATCCGAATCATACTTGCAGTACTTGCTAACTACTAGTAGTCCTGTTTAGTTTTTGACTACTTGGCTAAAATGTAACAAACTACACACGTTATGTATTTATACAAACATATTCATAGTAGCCTTGAGCTACAGCTATGTAAAACTAGGTGCACAAAATGAAATTAGAAATAAAAAAAAGTCTTCATTCATTAACAAAGTTAGTATTCGGTATTATATTTGAGAAATATTATCTTTTCCACCACATCATCATCCAGTCTGGCACAATGTGGGTGCATTACAATCCCTCCTTGGCTAAACATCCTTTCAACTGGTGCACTACTGGCAGGAACCATAAACACACTCATAGCAGCCTTGTGCAACAATGGAAGGCTTTCTCCATGACTTTTCCAGAAAGACATCACATCCATTCCATCATCTGCTATCTTAGCAGCTAGCTCTTGATAACACCTCAGCTCATCATCAAAATTTCCTGGCTGTGGTATGGTGGTGTTAGCTGGCCTTCGATAAACATACAGTGAGGATGCAGGTTTTGATTTAACTAGTGGGCCATCAGCATCAGAGTTTGAGACATTATCATGGCCAGTACAGCTAGAGGCAGACAAACTGTGAGGATTTGAACAAAACTGCTGAAGTTATAAAACAATTTCTGCTTTCACAGCATTAGTTTTAGCATCATCAGAACTAATTTTTTCCAGCCACCAGAAGCAAAAACGAGGGTCTAACACGGCCGCCACAAAGTACATGAAATGACTGAAAGCAAATAGTGATTTTTTGTGTCATCCAAAGGACTTGGTAATGGTATCAAATGGTATTAATGCAAATGACAATGAATGTTTTTCACTACTGCTTCTTAAAGCTGTAACCATGTTCCCCAAGTATGTTGGAATAAATTCCAAAAGGTGGTGGCATAGTCCAATTATTGATGGCACCACTGCTGAAATCATAACATGCTGTTCACCTTGTACTTTCTCTGTGGCGTCCAGAAATGGCTGGAGTAGCAACGCTAGTTCTCTTAGTTGGGAATAATCCCTCTGGCTGGGTTTTAAATTACACTGGTTTTGTTCTTCAAGCATGTGTTTCAGCTTTTCTTCATCCAGGGACAAAAAAGCATGCATTTGTCTGAGAATACTGTTCCACCTGGTGGCATTGGTTTGGGGAATACTAGCTTGAAGACCAAACCTTCTTTCAAAGGTTTCCTTGAATAGGGTACTTGTGTAAAGAAGGCTGCAGATTTTTGACACTTTTGCCTGGGCACCATAAACTTCGCCTCCTTGAAACCATCCCCGACAGCGAGTTGCAGAATATGAGCAAAGCAACTTAGTCTCTTAATTAGAGGTCCACTTGAGTTTACATGATGGATGACTGATGTAACGACTTCTGGGTTTAAGTCTTCCCATAATTCTTCATTTTCCAAAGTGTCACCTTGCATATCAATTTGCTGCTCTGATTCATGGTTGTTAAATGCTATGGTGAATGCTTTATGCATGTTCGCAGCATTGTCTGTTATAACAGATCTAATTTTATCCTCGATTTTATAAGAATCACATATGTTCTCAAACACTTCTGCAATGTTCTCACCAGAATGCTGGCCAAGGAACCTTTCACACGACAACAGTTTTGTCATGAGTGCATGCCTTATCATCATATGGGCTGTTACTCCCAAAAGCCTCTCATTCTTCTATCTCACCAGATGTCGAGCATCAATGCAATTGTGTCTGCCTCAGAAAGAAGTGCTTTCACGTTATGGTACAAGTTGTCCAGTTCTGTCATAACCGAATACAGACTTATTTCTCATGACTGGGGATCCAACACATGACCAAGTCGCCTGAACTGCGTTTTTTCTGCTGTTGAAAGTGGTAGTGAGCAACCGATTATCAGGTCCCTAATTAAAGGACTATTCTTCTTGGTTTGGGATAATTTATTCCATAAACACCTTGGCTACGTCTACACTGGCCCCTTTTCCGGAAGGGGCATGTAAATTTCACCAGTCGTCGTAGGGAAATCCGCAGGGGATTTAAATATCCCCCGCGGCATTTAAATAAAAATGTCCGCCGCTTTTTTCCGGCTTTTAAAAAAGCCGGAAAAGAGCGTCTACACTGGCCCCGATCCTCCGGAAAAAGTGCCCTTTTCCGGAGGGTCTTATTCCTACTTCAAAAATGGCGTATTAATGTAAAATTTCATAGACATACACATACAATCAATACGATTTTCACATTGTCATATATCCATGTAAAATCAGAAATTGCGCCTAGATGCGTTCAAAATAAAAAACAATGAAACACATTCACCATGTATTGCATCGTTTCGAAAGAAAAGTAGCCCTCAACAATGTAGCATATTGTTGACAAGTAAACACGATATTTTTATCAATTTTTTTACAAATCTGAAATCTCCCATCTTCATGCATATGATAATTGTTTACTTGGCTGAAGTACTTCGGGTTGCCAGGTGTCCGGTATTCTACCGGACAGTATGGTATTTTCTGATTTTTCTGGCTGCGCACCGGACAGAAGCCTGGCGTGGGCAGGGGGAGTGGCTGGAAGGCAGGGCCACGATCAGCGCTAGGACCCTGTGACTGTGCAGAAGCCTGTTGGGGGCGGGGGGAG